CACAACGAGTCTGATCCCATGAGATAGCACCATTTGGAGAAAAACTCAGTATTTCAAACTGAAGTCTCGTTTCTCCCACCTTTTGCTTTTCATTTTCTTTTTAATGGTGGTTCTTACTTTTTTTTTTTAACCTGCAACCCTTTCCCCTTTTCTCCATCTCAGAATCATTTTCATGGCCACTCTCGTCAAACAGTGATTGGGATGTTGCAGCTTTGCCTCTCAGTGCCCTGGGGTCTCCAAGGGACATGCCCCAGTGCAATGTGCCCGTGGTCCTCTGCTGACATCACTCAAGAGCTGAGTCTTCACTGCGGCGCTGCAGGCCCTCAGGACTCATCTGCACATCCCAGCCCTGGCACGCGGGCATCGGGCTCTGGCACTCGGCAGTGGCAGCTGGGCTGTGTTTTAACCCATCCTCTGCCTGAAAGGGATCTCTGGTGCAAAGCCTGGGGAGCAGGTGATCTCACTGAGAAATCAAGTTGCGATCGGCAATTCAGCAGAGCACTCAGTCAGCAAGTCCGCTTGTGTAACTCTGGAGTGTTAGCGGCTCGGTTCGGGCTGTCTTCACAGCTGCATCTTCAGGACTGTGGCTGTCCCAGGCTTCTGCTGCAGATACACACCAGAGGGCGGGGAGGGACGGAGACCGGGCCAGAATAGAGCCAGAGTATATTTTTGAAGGGAGAGTTTTTAGGAATATATTATTCATTAATATATTTCTTCATAAGAATATATAAGGATTCTGAATATTCAAGAGTCTATTAACAAATATTTTTTCATGAATATATTTATAAGGAGAATCAGTTTTTAAGAACTTACAAGAAAAAATATTAATGAGGAATGTGTTCTTGAATATTAAGAATATACTCATAGGAACACTTCATATTCAAAGAATGTATTTTTCAGCTCCAAGAGTTGCAGAGACAAAGGGAAATATTCTTTAAAATGATATGAAACAAAATGTAATGCAGGGGAAACTCAGTATTTCAAAAGGAATGAGTAACTGTGGCAAGTTGGTCATTTGCTGGGTGGTTAAGAAATGTTTCTGGATCAGGCACAGGAGTCAGGATTCAAGCTGGCCGTCACTCCAAAGCCCGAGTACTTGCCCCCACACTTCCCTGCCTCCAACCCTCACTCAACAGAAGGAGATTCCACAGACAAAGAAAATTCCACCAAGAAATGCCAGGGATGTTCAAGTCGGCCCTCAGCAAGAGTAAGAGGTCACAGCTCAGAGCCAGGGTGAACAGGAACCACTTTTGGAATCTGTTTAGGACTTGAGTTATCCAAGGTCAGGATCTAATTGTAGGCCAGGAGAGAAGAGGTATTCAGAGCTGATTAAGGAGAGATTTTTCCTGGGAGGACTGTGGGTTGTTGGAAGCAGAGAAATTTATTTTTGTGAAAAAGTATCCGAAATTAAAGGCACTCAGAGACTATGGTCTCAGAGGTCCTAAGCTCCCTGATCGTCCTTGCTAATGATCTAATTTCCAGCCCCATGATGCGTACTTATGATGTGTTGTACAAATAAATGGTCCTTTAGGGGAACTCTTTCTAATAACCCAGAAGTTTGTATTTCCTGAAGTCCTACTGGCAATTTTTTGCTTTGTCCCTGACTCACGCATATTCTGGGTGGGAATCAGGAAAGAGGAGAATAAGGGGCTAAGGGTGGTATCTGGGGGCAGCCGAGGCCTTCAAACCATCTGGGGCATTTCTGGATGCTGCCTGACTCCTGAGGGTGGGGGGCGCCTCCTGGGAGAAAGATTTCAACTTGTAAGGTTTCCAGCCTGTCTGGAGAGCATGGGGTGAAGGGAGGGGATTGGCGGGTGTCAAGGCTGGGCGTGGTAGGACGGAGATCATCCCAGGCCCCCCATGCTTCTGGGCCCCCTAACAAATAAGCACCCTGAGAAGAGCGGGCCTCTTGGGGTCCTCAGGGTTGATGCAAACTTAAGGAGTTTATGTGTGGGGATTCCTGGAAGAATGCTCGAGAAACAGATGGCTGTCACCACTCTTTTCCTGACACTTACTGACGGCCACTGTGGGGTGTCCGGCCGCTTACATGTGTTACGTGGGCTACATTCACATCCACACATCCACAAAATCTAATGTAAAAAAATTCCTCGGAGTGGGTGTTCTTTTTACAGACAAGTGATGCCTATTTAGGAAGTTACGGAGCTGGGATCTGAAGCGGAGTTTGATGGGCTTGCCTCGTTCGCGGATGCAAGGAACTCTTCCTGTGCGCGGATTAAGTGCCAGGTAAGACATCAAGTGCTGGGAGGAAGTGATGAGCAAGCCTGCCACCGTCTCTGTCCCCACAGACCGGCTAGACTTGTTGGGGGGGGGAAGCACGTGGTAAGGATGACAAGTGCGGAGCCATATGGCGGGGAGGGAGGCTGCAACAGGGTCTTCCCAGGCAGGGGTGAGGGGGAGAGAACACCTCAGGCAGGGGAATCAGCGTATGCCCAGGTAAGAGGCCCACCAGGAGGGTGAGTCTGGAGGAAGAAAGAAGCTCGGTGTAGGTCCAGCACAGGAGGGGAGCACAAGGGAAGCGCTGTGACCAAGGAGGAAGGTGGGGTGAGGTGTGAAAGCCGGCAGCGTGCGGGACCAGCAGGGACCCATCAGGAGCTGACCCGCACCCCATTGGTCTCCACCTTCAGCAAGTTCGTGCTGGTAGAGAATGTCGAACACAGAAATGGGCAGAGTCGGATGTTTCAGTTTCCTGAGTTGGGTAGCCACTCTGATGATGGTACTGTTACTTGGGTAAATTTACGAGGATGGGACCATCTGAGTTGCCTTTCTAGTGTGACAAGGTGAAGGTATTGGGTGACAAGTTGGGGTGTCCGGCAGGTGGCTAGAAACCTGGATCGAGCTCTATCTGATCACACTGTCTTCTAGGAACACGGCAGTTCAGCCCTAATTTATCCTGGTGTTGTTTTGTTCTAGACCTTTCTGTTGAAATGACAAGTATTAAATATACGAAACATGCATCTCAGGTCTTCCATGGAGCCTATACAATGAGCAATTGTGAGGTTCTTTTTAATTTAATAATCTCCATTTTAATTTCTCGTTATTTTTTAAATTTTTTTCAAGATAAATTCAAAAGGTTTTTTTGCACCAAATGCCACAGAAAAATGGATCAAAATAATACATGAACAAGTTTTAAGAAAAAATTCCTATACATTGACATTGATATCTATTTACCTGATAAAAAATATAAAGTCCTATCAATTTGTCTTACTGGAGCTTCAATAATAACAAATCCCAGAATTTAGGCTCCACGCTGGATGCGGACCTACTTTCCAGCATGGAGCCTAACACGGGGCTGAAACTCATGACCCTGCCATCAAGACCTGAGCTGAGATCAAGAGTCGTGTTCCCTTTAACTAACTGAGCCACCCAGATGCTCCTAATTTCTGAAATTATTAACAGCCCCAGATGCCCCTAATTTCTGAAATTATTAACAGCTAGATCTGCTTCCCTAAGGAAACATATCCCAAGTACTCAAAGAAGGCTGACTTCTTTGCTGGCCAGTGCACGCAGTGCTTTTCTTCCGTGGCTGAGAAAAAAGCCTTCAGGCTGTGGTGTGGGAATAGGTTATTACAACATATTCATTAAGGCATGGAGGTGGGGGTTTTATTTTATCTGTTTATTTTCATTTAAAATATATTAAAATTTTAACACAGCAGAAGCAGGAATTTAATCGTACATGGCAGTCTAAAAACAAAACAAAACAAAATAACCAGAAAACAAGCAGCAAACAAAACTCCACAGAAAACAAAAATTTACATGAACCAATAATATATTAAAATTCCATTTAGGTGAGGATCTAAAAAAAAAAAGAAATATACACACACCTCTTAGAGAATTGTTTTTCTCAATGACCTACAGCTTGAGAATCTCTCCAAGCTCAATCAACTGTCTTCAACAGTAAGATTCTTAATGAAGCAAATGGGTGAGGTCTGTTTCTTTTCACCCCTCATGGCCCCCCTGAAAACAAGGAATCTCCACTTCCCTGGGGGCCTGTTTAGCTCTGACTGTGGGTATAAAAGAGGGGATTGTCTTTCAAAATTGTGGGACTGACTCCTCTTAAGTGTCAGATACAGTCACACAAAACAAATAAGGTCTGACAAGAAATCAGAATTGTTCGAACAAATCATAGCCACCAAGCTCCCTACTTTAGAGACCTTCCCTTTTAATGGTGTGTCTCTTTAAAGATGTAACACGGCTCCTTATTACACCTGCTCAGAAGGAGCTCAGGGCCAGTTACTTCTCCTGAGGCCGCCTCTGAGTGGAAGCCGGGAGGGGTTCGGTGCAGGTGGGTGTCTGGCCCTCGAGCCCATGCCAGTGGCAGGACAGGGTCCCCTGCGCTCCCACAGATGGCCATTGGGCACTGCCTGGGGCGGGGGGGGGAGGGGCAGTCCTTGGGAGGGCCCGGCCAGCTTCTGCTACATGCCCAGGCTGACTGTTCCCCTGGTCCTCCTGGGCAAGTTCCAGGAGCCACTGGGAGGACAAACAAGAAACGCTTAATGGAACAAAAAGAATTAATGAATCGTGAAAACATGTGCTTATTATTTTTTTTAAAGATTCACACTTTCCTGAGTAAAGTACACAAAAATCCCACATGAAGTCTTTCTAAAGCACCAGGCCTCTATCTCTTAGACTCACTGCGCCCAGATGGCAAATCTGAGCCAAGCTCAGATGCTCTGGTGAAAACATTAACAATGTATTTGTGAATGCTGTTTTTCTAATATTTTACTGCTTGAGAGTTTTATGCTTGAAAACTGGTTAATGGTGAAGGAGAAGAACTGAAGGTGTATGTGTGGGCTTCTTTGGTCTGTTTGTTGCAACACATCAGAGCCGGAAGGACCCCGCTGAAGATCAAGATGTCCCCAAAGCACACACGGGCCTGCATCCTTGGCCCTGGATCAGTCATCGATACCCTCTACACATCAAAACCACAGCCACTTTCAAAGTCCAAATTAAATATGGATATGACCATGGGGACATACAAATCAAACTAATGTGGGCCAGTTTTATTGCTGAAAGAACAAGGTCCTGGTGCCATGGCTGTTCAGGTGGTGTGTTTATCCTCTGGCTTCTTGGCCTGAGAGAGAATCTTCTTCGGTGAGGTCCTGGGAATTCCTGAACATGAGAATAGAGTTATAAATCTTCAGTGCCGGACCCAGTTTGATCTTCATCACCTTGACGATGTCCGTTTGTGTCAGAAGCAGGAAGGCTTTGCCATCAATCTGCTGCGAGTAAATAAACACACAGTTTACCCTCTGGCAACTTCTGGGGGCCAAGCTGTGGGACGCTGAACCGTGTCGACCTGCCTGCAGACCCCTCGAACAGGGAGACACGGCACCCTCTCCCGCCCAGCCCCGCCACTGCCCCACTCTGTACTGTCACCCAGGACCCGGTGAAATATGAACTCGATATACAAAATTTTGTATAGTGTTATGTTTCACCTCAATAGGCGATATTTCTATTGTTATGTTTAAAAAATCTTGGCCTGAATTTGTATCACGAGCCTTAAAAAAAACCTACTTGCATCCACCAAGTAAATCTCCAGGAATTTTTCCCAAGAGAACAAGGTGCAGTGTGTCTACTCTAGTGTTATTTGAAATAGTGAAATACTGAAAACAGTCCAGCATTTCAAAAATAGCAGAAGTAAATACATTATAATATCATCTAGGTTGGGGTACGAGGCAGTCACCAAAATTCACATCTCGATGAAACAATAATTTGGCAAATTCTTCATGAATTGTTAAGCAACAAACCATGACATGATGAAACAGATCTCAGTTTTATTCTGTAAAATTAAATGTGCATGACCACATATATACATACACATAATTAAAATATTTGAAGTCTTTATACCAATGTTAAGTGAAGTCAGATTTGGCCGGTGGAGTAGTGGTTTGATTTTTATTTTCTCCTTTTAACCTGCATTAAATTTTTTTAATAATAAATGCCTTTATAAGCAGAAATACATAATAAATGTTTTATTTATTAACTTTTTAAAATATTTATGTATTTATTTTGGAGAGAGCACGCGAGCGGTGGGGGGGAGGGAGAAAGACAAATAGACACCCCGCTGAGCACAGAGCCCCATATGGGGCTCGATCTCATGACCCTGAAATCATGACCTGGGCAGAAATCAGGAATCGGTTGCTTAACTGACCGAGCCACCCAGGCGTCCCTTATTTATTAACTTTTAAAACATAGTGGTCTGACATGTAATAGCTTTCCTGAGACTCACAGGATGCCGAGTGACCACCATGCAGGCCTTTTCCACAGCGTCTAAAATCCCCAGTCTGCTCTCCGTTTGAGTCCCAGGGACTCTGGGCATGTCCTATACCCGCCATCACCTATTTAAACAGACTGGCTCAGAAAGATTGCTGGCTGTAGAACCAAGAAGACAGAATGAAAGGGTTTTCTATGGTAACCCCCTTCCCTGAATCTAGCACTGTGATTCTAACTTCTTTGAATTAATGATACAAACCCTTCATGTCAATGACTCACTGAGGAAGTAAGGATCCCCCCACAGACACAAATTTTGAAATTTAAGTTTTAAATTAAAGTGGGAAGTTAAAGTTTAAAGTTTTAAGAAAGTCATAAAAAGCTTCCTGTGCATTTGTGATAGTGTCTGTTGAAGAATCGTCCATTTAGAGAACAAAATACCCGCAGAACTTTCCTAGGCACTGAAACACACTAACCCTGAGCTTTAAAGGCCCCTCGCACCGAGGAGAGATGAGACAAGTTAAGTGATCTGCCCACTGGGGGACCGCCGGTCATAAGAGCCAAGCTGGAGAATCTTGACCTGCAAAGACACCTGTGGACAAGGTGGGTCTTGGGCGCTGCTTGACGCAGAGAGTGGCCTGTATGTGCGAGGCCAGGCCAACCACCCTCGAGCCGGGCTGGGCTCAGGGGAGAGCAGGTGAACGTCATGCTTCCCTGGGCAGCTGCCCAGACTACTACCTGACTGACCCTGTGCTGAGTTCCCTGGAGATGCAGGACTTGCTGGGCTCTGAGGGCGCCCAGGACGCCAAACTCCAAGAGTATTTTCCCTGAACCATGACCTCTTAGAGAGGGAGAGTGTATGCTATATGCGGGAGTCTCTAAGAGTGTAGCTTTCCTGCAGACTTCTAGAGAGATGATGATGGTTCTGGAATCACACGGAGAGGGGCTGGAATCTGCCTGCCCTTTTCCGGCTGTGCCTGCAATTGTAAAGTGCTTAGCACAGGGTCCAGCACGTGGCAAGCCCACGATAAGCAATAACCACCGTATCTTCACTATTACTCTATAGCTGATGCCGTCTCTTCTGCGGCCCCTAGAGCTATGGCTACTAAGTCCAAGACAAATACTGAGCAGTTTGGAACATTCCCAACCAACAGGGAGGACACGAAACTCCGCAGAAGGACTTTCTGGCTTCTCGGCATTCCTCTTGAAGCAGGTACAGAGCAGGGGTACACAGGATGGTCCCACGTCACCACGGGGTAGACAAATCCCCTCTCCTCCCTGGGAGCAGGCTCCTCACAGGACCCCTCCTGCCCCCAGTGAAGCCTAAGTCATCACAGCAGAGCCTACGTGGCACCCATAAGAATTAACTGACATGTTCATTCATTCTTCCACCGACTAGTCTATTTCTTGAGCAGGCCCCTGGGCCAGGCACCACAGCATTCTGTGACAAAGCATGGCTAAGCATAAGCAAGACAAAGACAGAGGCCGACCCTGAGGTGCCCGACTGCACTGCTGGGCTCTGTCCCACACTGACCCCTCTCTCCTGCCCACCCAACTACTCTCAGTTACACTTAAGTAAATGAAAACAAAACACTTCTGGGGCCAGAAGCATGGAAGTATATATAATTTTTGCATTTCTTACCTCTTTCTTGAAGCACTTGGCATGCTCTTCGCAGCCCAGAAGAGACTGTACGAATTCAGCCACCTACAGTGTAAGATGAAAAGCCTGATTTACAACACACACCTGAAATAATTTCTTGGGTTGTAGTAATTCAACATTTGAGTAAAATATACTTCAAATTCCTCAAACACTTGGATTTGAAATAGTAACTGTCAAGGCACATTAGCATGTGCCAGCTCAGAAATTAGACCAGCCCCCAGTCTCTCTTCTGGCCTCTTATTGCCAGGCTGACCTACATGGGGTTACCATTACGATGGCAATGACAGCCTCCATGTGTGCAGTGCTGATATTCTGGAATCTTCTCTCGTCTGATCCTCCTGTCCACCCTGTGGAGTCAGGGAAGGCAGGAGGGAGTGGCCCGGGTGCAGTAGTCTCTACAGAGAGAGAAGGACTGTCCACCTGGCCCTTTCAGCAGCCCCAAGGCCCCCGTCTGAGTCTCACCCGTACCCGGCCAGCAACAGGGACTCTAGGGACCTCTGCTGGCCGAACTCCCTCATCAGTGACAGTGAAGCTGAAGCCCCAGGAGGTTTAATGACTTACCGAAAGTCATGCATGGCTGAGAAGTGCCAAGGATGGTTTTGGAATTCAAGTTTTCAGACTCCAAACGTGGAGTTCTGGAGAATTACCCTCTTCAACTTCATTTCCCACTCTTTCCCCCCCTGCCCAGCCAGCCACACACGCCTCAAGTTCCTTTTAATTAGAGAGACCAGACAATGACCTGGCTGGATGCACAGGAAGCTATGAGTGTTCCCAACGGATGCTTTTAGGAAGCTGAGTGAACAAACATCATAAAGTGTAGACTCTCAACGACCAAAATGACAAGTGGACTCTGGCCCCTTCTGGCAAGGTCTGGTATGGCTGCAGTGCAGGATGAAAGGCACGCCAGGAGGCAACAGTAACAAAACCTGGGAGATGATGTTTGTAAGAGCTATTGTCTTCGCTTTTAATTTCTGGCTCTCTGCGACTTGAGCCTAACGAATTGGGTGCACGTGAGCCTTCTCTCTCCTCTAATGGAAAAGGCCCACGGGAAGGCAGGGAGCTCAGGGCCTTGTATCAACATGTTCTACAATCCAAGAGCCCTGGGAGTCCCCCGCTCCGTGCAGGGAGAGGACAGTGGACACTGACCCACCCCACACTTGGCAGAAGAGAGCATTGCGGCCTTGGCTGATCTCCAGCTTACGGAGTGGCCAGGGACCAACACCCACAGGGCGGACCCGGGTCCTGACACCTGTACTCACACCCTTGACTCACAGCTGTATTTAATACAAAGATTTCAGAACATCTTTTTAGGGGCCATCAGCATGTTGGTGTCTGCTTCACTCACCTCAGATGCCTCAAGTATATTTTATCATGAGTCATCTACAGTCATCCTTCCAAAGTGCGGGATGATGAGAATTAAAAAAAAAAAAATCTTCCCAAACCAGTCATCATGCTGCCACACAACGGCATCCTCGAGCCCTAGGAGTACCTGGGAGGCTTTAGCATTCTGAGCTGCTTCGCCCAAGTGCCCCATGCTGTGTTGGTTGAGTTGATTGATTCACTCTTCTTAGGTGGCTGAAAAGCACGGAGCTGAGGAAAGTGTGGGGAGGCTGCTGGTGGAATTGCAGGGACACGTAACTGGGGCGAGTGACAGCAGGGTAACACAGAGTGACTCTCAGAGAGTTTCCAGGGCCTGGGACACTGGGGGGGGTGTAGTCCCCCTGTTCCCAAGGCTGCCCTCCGGCCAGGTACGCCCAACCCCCGCTACACGTAAGGCTCCTGCTGGGTGCTGGGAGGCGGGAGCGTGAGCACGTCAAGTGGGAACTTCCACCGTGTTTACCGTTTGAGCAGAGGTAGGCGGATAAAGGGAAAACGGCGAGTAAGGATGGCTTACTCCTCACTCCGGTACACGCTCAAATGTGCTAAGTTCGAGAGGTTCTAGAAAAGAGGTGGAAAGGCTGTGGGCTTCTAGCATGGACAGATGGCATCTCAGACGGGAACCCGGGAAAAGCATCGCAAGGGAGGTGGAGGCTGAGACAGGCAGTGCTGGGGGGCGAATGGCGGGGGGCGAGTGGAGAAGACCTTCTCAGCACAGAGCGTCAGGGGCAAGGCCGCCAGGGGATGCACTGCACACATGGCATCAGCAGTGAGGAGTGCCGTTTGGCTAGAACTGTGGAGCAGGGGAGCCGCGGGAAAAGGCAGGGGTGAGGGGCCGGCGGTGCTGTGTCCCCGGTGTGGGTACAAGGAGCCCCGGAGGGGCGGCTCTCTCTCGGCCACAACTTGGAATCCCCTGGACAGCTTTACACAGGAATAATGGTGAGGCTCAGGCCACAGACACTCTGAAGTCATCAAGCTGGATCTGGCCCAAGTGTTGGGCATTCATTTTTAGATTCCCCAGGTGATTCTCATGGGCAGGTAGGGCTGAGGATCCTTGCGCAAGAGAAACCTCAAGAGCTGATCTAGCAGTGTGGGGGGGACTGGGCAGGACGTCACTGGGAGACACCTGTGGCTGTCCGGTGGGGGCCCGCGAGGGCTTGGACACTCTGCACGGGGCAGAGCATGGAGCTGGAGGCAAGAGGCCCTGCAAGGTCAAATCCCGAGATCTGCCCGCAGGCAGGAATCAAAGCAGAGGCCAGGAAAACTGCTGGAGGGCAGGTGTGTCCCCACCAGCATTACTGACTAGGGGGACTGAGCATTCTTTGCAGCGGGGCCACCTTGTGTGTTGCAGGCTGTTTAGCAGCGACACTGGCCTCCATCCGCCACGTGTCATTTGCACCCCCACCCCCACGCTGTGGCAACCAAAAATGTGTCCAGATATTGCCCAATCTTCCTGGTTCAAAGCCACTGCTCTAAAGGCACGTTTTCCTGAGATGGCTCTTTCACAGGGCAAGAGGCTGAATGTCACAGCAAGAAAATTAAAAATAAAAAAGCAGGACTAGGAATTAACAGAAGACATACATTTTGTCACAGCTCAGTCACTGCCTCCTGGGGGAAAGCCAAGCCAGCAAAAAGGATCCGGGCTCCCCACAGACAGAGGGTCTTTTTAAAATACATATTCCAGGAACTTCCATTCACAGCAAAGGTGTTGTGTGTTGCTTTGATGGTCTGCATGGATTAAAATGTCCTTTCCTGGGCACACAGGAAAGAATCACATTCCCCCTCCTGTTAGCCAAGAAGTCACTGTCTATGTCCGAGGTAGACAGGATTCTTCAACAGGAACGATGAACTTGTCAGAGTTCATCACGGCCGAGCCAGCGGCCCCCAGCTGGCCCCGGGGAACCCCCCCCTGTGCCCCCCCGCCACAAGACGTGCATTTTGGGCCTTGGGTCTGAAATCCTCTGCCTCTTCCGAAAGAGATTCTGAGTCTCTTCAATCTATCCTTTTCCAAAGTCAAAAACAAGTTCCATGAAATCTACTGAGGCTGACTTTTCTGGCCAGAATTTAAAAATATCCAAAGGCCTTGATCATTATTCATTGTCATTATCCAGTACTATTAGTCGGTATTTATTCCCTCTAAGAATAAATTATATTTTGAGGATTAATAGAAAGCCCATTTTGCTACAAATTGTAATTGGAAAATGGTGGGTTCGAACATACCATAGAGTGCCGCCAGAAAGCTTCCCTCTCAGTCTCCCCTTAAAAATCTGTCTGCCTCTTCAAGTCTGTGGTAAATGGGAATGACTCTGTGAAGCAGGAAGGTACCGTCTGTTTGCCCGCACCCAAGATGGCTGTGTGGACGCGTCTGCTTGTCTAAGGTGATGGCGCTGCTGTTGGGGCCTGGGGGCGGCTGACCACCACCTTGGCTCCCAGCAGCACACCTGTGGGGAGGCTGCCTTGCGCGGGGTTCCCCAAGTTCTCAGGAGGGGAATGTCCCACAGCAAAAGCCCAGGCTTTGTCCTGGGACACTGAGTAGGTTAATCCTGGGGATGACAGAGCACTTCGGGAAGACTAAGAAAGATGACCCTGCACCAGCTCTCAGATGAGCCCATTACTTTCCCCAACTTACTTCCCCCAGCGACCTACTTTTCCTGGCATCCTCTCGGAGCTCCACAGGCCTGTTTCCTCCTGGGGAGCTCTTGCTCCCTTAAATCTTTTGGAACGGTGGTATTCTCGATCTTGCTGAGCCGGGAGCTGTGGGCCGGATTGCACTGGCTCCAAGTCCACTGGGGGCCGTTTCCAGCCTGGGTCTCATTTTTTTAACAGTGGAATTTGTTACTTGCCCTTTTTTAAGGGCCCGCTTGTATAAGGCTGCTATGCTGGTTAGCGGTATCCCGAATTTTTCAGAACACTCCCTCCTGTGTAAAGATTGCTTTTAAAGCGACTGCCATCTTTTAAAGTTAATGGACATTTAGGGAGCACTTGGTTGAGGCTATGGCGATTTATATGTGCTGCTTTAAGAAGCATTTTTGTTGTAAGAAGTAAAAGCACCCCTACGTGCCCCGAGCATACATGAGCCACATGCCTGTAAGGTGCACACAGCATGTCACCTCCTGCCTTCACGTGCCCGCGCACACCTGGTGGGAGGGTGCTGCATAAAATCCACCTCCCCATTTATTCACTCACACATTTTTAAGACACCTACTCTGGGCAAGATACTTTACTATAATGATGCAAAGAGATAGAAAAATATTTTAGTTCCTACTCTTAAGCACTTATACTCCTTTATAGACCATTTCCACGGCCCAGAGTACAAAACACACTTCACACTGACCGTAACTGGAGTGTTGCACATACCCACAGACTTCTAACAAAGGTTTCACAAAATAATAACCCTGACTACAGTTATGGTCTTTCCTCTCATCTTGTCTTTCTTTCTAGAACCATGAAACTGACTTCACAGCCTGCCCGTGCTTTGAAAAACACCGCGCTAAAAGAAACAGCCAGAGCACTCAAGGAGTGAGAAGGTTGCTCCCACGCTCTGGGCAATGTTACAATGGCCCTGGGCTGGCTTCTCTTTGCAGGTAACAGAATGCAGAGAGGAGGTCTCCCTCCCAGGCCAGGATAGCAGACAAAAGGAAACGTTCTTGCTCTTCATCTTCTGCCACAGACAAGACTCCTGCCTTGAGTGTCCCTGAAGGGCACTTAACACAAGGACATACAAGTCCATTTTCAATGTATCCTGTCTTGGGCTCCCGTGGTTCCTCTCTCCAATACTTTGCCTAATGAGAACAAAACACAAAAGAACAGCAACCCCCTCCCTTGGTCTCCTCTTGCCCTGCACTGCCGTTTCAAATCCTTGCTGCCCTATTCCCATTTTTAATGTGGCATCTAAAAAATCCAATAGTCACAAACTGTATTGTTGGTACTCACTGGAATGCCCCCTAAGCAACCCCCATCTGAAGGCTGCCTTATCTTCAAAGATACAAATAGAGTCACCACAAAGCCCACACTCTCACCCCACCCAAGATTCTTCCTGAGGGGCCTATGTTGGTTCCAGGAAATGTGCTACGAGAGTGTGAGAACACAGAAGGAAATTTAGGACATGCTCCTTGTCCTCAAGGGCACCTAGTTAGGGAGATTTCAAGACTATGATATATTAAACATGATGGAATAAGTCAAACTTTCTCTGGAATGCATCCTTGAGGGAAGTCACGGTTACAGAAGCATCATGACAGGCACACTTTATGAAGACAGCCTCAGGGATGATGGTTTTATTTTAAATCTAGAAAATTTTAAGGCCTCTTTCAGCAATAAAGGGCTGTTCCATGTGTATCCACTACGGAGAACTCAGGGACTGTGACCTTGGCCTCCTAATAGTCCTTGATGGCACCCTCCGTGTCCCCCATAGTGAGTCAGGCCCTCCCTGTTGCAGTGAGACTTGTGGCGTGACCACCACTGCCTTTCGTCACTCTCCCAAGCCCTTACTTCCTGCAGTGCCAGACTTGGGACTCACCAGATCAGAGGCCCCCTAAACTTCCCACTCACTATTTAATGTTCCGAAAACAGAGGTTCTGTTCTCTTTGGATGATGGTCCTCTTGAGACATTAATAAAAGCTCTGGCCCTCCTCTTAAGGACAAGGAATACACATATTGTCCACATTTTTTTCCAAATCCCTGGAAGCCCAGTTCTGCGGCCCCAGCCAGGAGCCCTGAGCTACATCTGGCATGTGCCCTGCTAAACAGGACACTCACCACCTGCCTCTCATTGACACTTCTCTGTTGTGGACTCCCTCTCCGACTGCAGTCCCCTCTGACCTCCATCTTCTGCGGCTCTCCTTAGACAACTGTGTCCTTGGTAAAGGCTCACTCAGGGCCCCCATCCATTAGTGAAGCCTCATGCGATATTTCCATCCTGGGAATAGGTATTATACATCTACTGCTGTGATGTCATCCACAGGGACTTCTCCCTTAAGATGTCCCATATGAAATTCACCATCTTCTTTCCCTGCCCCCAAACTGGATTCTTTCCCCCAAAGTTTCATCTCGTTTGGTGGCACCACTACTTTCCCATTCTTGCAGATGAACTCTCTAGCCCGCATATTGTCATCCCGGGTCCTAAACTGTGTGGTGCTGAGACTACGTACGCATGGAGTCACATTTGGCTCATTTCACTTCTTCACCTTCAGGATCTGATCTGTTTCACTGTGTTGTGTTCTTGCTTTCAACTTGAAAATGTCTGCCGACTTCGGGCAGTTCTTCTGCCCAGTGCAGACCCGGATGATTCCACACCGGGAGTGTGGTGGGGCTCCCTGGGCGGTGCTCCCTGGTCAGTCCCTCTCCTCCGCCTCTTCTCACGCATACTCCTGCAGATGGGTGCCACTCTCATGCCCCTGAAGCACCATCTCCACAGATGACTTTCTGTGTGAGCGCCTCCCGTGGCTCATGCCGCTGACTGACAGACACACAGGCCAGCAAGCATCCCGCCTCACACCCGGCGCACCTTCCCCATCCCGGGGCACTCCTGTCTGTGCCCCACGTCCGCAGGGTGCTTGGCGGGTAAGATGTCAGCTCAGGACCTGGCTCTGCCTGTGGGGCCCTGTGGGACCCTGACTCAGTCTCTAGGTGCCTCAACTTCCCTAACTGTAAAATGGGCAAAATAAAAGAGTACTTGCCTTACTCCCAGTATATTAATAGTGTTCACTGTCATTATCAATGTTAGTACAGGATGTGTCGTACATCTGCCATCCATGTATAAGTCGTACTCACTTGCAGGCAACCTTCCATTTTCCCCTTTGACTGGAATGGCTGCCCTTCTTTCTCTGCTTGGATGTGTTCCACTTTTGTTTCAATATCCAGCAGCTCATGATGCCCTTGTCATGCAACATTCATTCAACAAACACTACTGGGTTATCTGCTAAGTGCCGGGTGTAGTGAGAAGTTCTCCGGAGACGTGTCAAGTGAATGAAATAAGGTCTCTACTCATCTGGTGAGGGGCAGACAAGTGAGTGCAGGTCAGTGACAAAAAAGTCTCTGAGGAGATGGGAGCATGGCGAGGCTCCTGCAGGAGGGGAGCACCGTGCTGATGGCCGGGAGTGGCCGCAGGTAGTTGGGGTAGCAGCTGTGCCAGTGTGAGAAGCCCATGCGGGGACACGGGGTGGGAGGCCCACCGGGGGCATGGTGGGAGGTCGGGCTGGAAAGGCAGGGGCGGCTGCCCATGCAGGTGCTAAGGCATGCCAAGGACTTTGGGGAGCCAGGGACTGTGTCTCTACTATGTTCAGCTGCTCTGTGCACACAGGGCTGGGGCTGGATGCAGGTGGCTGCCTTCTCCAAGACATCTTTCTAAGCATGACGGTGACGACACAAGGGAAGAGAAGCCACCGTCAGTCTAACTTAGAAGTTGGTAGAACCTTGAGTGAATGGCTTGAAAGTCAGGAACAGATGATTGCCACTGAGGTCTCCATTATGGGCAGTGCTGCTACAAGGTCAAAGCCATACATGATTGGACCACAGACACACTCGGTCTTAGTTCAGTTGGCTTAGTCATGAAACCTGCATGCTTTGTAAACCGGTCAAAATTCATCAGCAAGGGGCAGGGGGCAGACCCTGCGTACTCTTTAAGGAACTGGATCACATTTAGTCATCGCTGGCTGGCATATTAAGCCAGCACTCCGTTACCAGGACTCTGGGATCACCTGGAAAGAGTGGAAGGAGAGGTGGGGCCGCGGGGTGTGCTGAGGGAAAGGTAGCAGCCCCGGCTGCTGCGATGAGGAGTGCTGGGCAGGGCAATCCTGCAGGCCTATTCCGTGAGGTGCTGGCGAGGAGGTGGATGGAGCAGGCTTGCCCTGAACCTCCAGCCTCTGCATGGCCTTTGTCACCTGCTCCTTGTCCGGGGCTGGAAAGGAAGGCCTGAACCAACGTTAAGTCAAGCTGATTGCAGGAAGTGCTCACTGAACATTTTGCAACTAATTTAACTCCAGCTCCACTGTTATCTTGTCCTTAGAGTGACCCAGGGTTTTCCTTCATTTAAAAAAATTAAGGCCCGACTAGTGGAAATAATACCTTTATTAAAAGAAACATCAGAGAGTGTATTCCTTAAAAGAAAACTGCTTTACATATGAAGCATTTCCACAGCGTTCTAGCAAGCAATAGGACTTACCTGATCCTTATTAAAAACCTACATTGTAAGGCACGGTTATATTAAAGTTGGATCTGTTTTCGCATGTGTACAACATCTTATGCACTGTTGTGATCTAATTCACTTTAAAAACAAACCTAAGGTTAACTGATCATCTGTGGCTTCCAGTGGACAAATGGCAGCACAGAGCTGTTCCATAATGAGAAGAAGTGGGTCCTCTGGGACCCTGCAGAACAGAACACCCTGAGGGGTGGGTGCTTCCCAGACGAGGTGCTGCTTTTAGGGCAGGGGCTGCCAGGGTGCAAGTCTAAAGTGCTTATACATGCATGCCTCCCCAAAGTAAATCTGTGATGTGGGACCAGAGGCTTGGGCCCCTCCACTGAAACTGGCCCTGGGCCGATGGTGACAGAGAGCAGAGGTGGCTCTGGGATACCGCTGGGGAGTGGGGGCCAAAACCAACTGGGCTATCCTAATTTCCTCAAAATTAGGCCAGCCTTCTCCCTTAAGTGTGGATCTGAAATTTGATGCTGTGGATTCTGTGCCTAGGAGGAATTCTCAGCAGCAGGGCCCCAGTCCCTCCAGGGCCCCAGAACAGCCCCGCTCACCTCATCCACTGTCCATCGGGCCACCTCACTGGCCTGGATGTTGGCCACACCTGGAAGGAGCTTGCAGTGCTGCTCCCGGCCGAGGGGAAGGTCCCGGAAGGGGTGGGCCGACATGGAGGACATGAAGACGGACTGGTGCAGTGCCTGCTGTGTCTGCTCAGCAGAATATTCTGGAAGAGAGGCAGGGTGAGTGAAACACATGCACGTGGGGCGAGTTAGGGAGCACCCCCTAGGTCAGCCCCTCCTCCCAGGGGCCCAGGATAAGACAGGTGCACACTCAGTGAGGACCCTGGTGTTCCAGTTGCTTGGCAGCATTGCCAGGAGGCGTTGCCACTGCTCTGTTTCAAAGCAGCTTTCCTGAGAAACAGATGTTATATAAGGCCCAGATGACTCTGGCTGTTTGCGAAGCGAGGTCAAATAATCTCTAGGAGACATTGTGTGATGCCAACCAAGAGCTAGGCTGTCACTGCCACTGGCTTCTTTCTCCCCAAATCAGAGGTCAGAGGAAGCACAGAGCCTTGCAGAACGTGGCTGTTAAATGGATCGGCCACCAACCAATCCGGGATGTGTGTGCCCACAAAGAACGACTTCTTCCTGGAAGCTGCTCTGTGTGTCTCCAAAGGCACAACAAGCCCAGGCCCACATCTGGCTTCACAGGTCCCCTGGGGGATGCTGAACGTGGAATGCAGCACAGGGTCCCCATGGGAATGTGGGTGGCAGCTGCTGAGTTAGCTCCCGGGGAGACACGATGACCTCTCGGGACTTGTGGGAAGAGGCTGCAGCTGAGATGTGACTGTCCCGACACAGGCACTCTTAAAGCGGACATTCTCTTTTTGGAGCAGGAGCTCTGAATGTGCTCCGGTTCTAAGACATGGAGGGCAGTGGCTGCTTGCTGGTTCAAGGCTGCTATCACCACTAAGGGGTAAGACTGCCCTCCCGCCTCTTACTTCTCCCCCGGCTTACGGACATGGTTTTCCACCTTCCAGAGTGACTTGACTCTTATGTTATATCCCAACATTGAGATGGAGCCAGATATCTCAGTTCAATTCCCTAATTATTTTGCTTTGAACATATAAGAAACAAAAACATTACAAAGATTTCGGAGAAAACCCAACTCATGCCTTTGTATTGTCATTTTTTAAGAGGCTTTCAACACACATGAGCAAAATAAAGCGTTGATATTTAAAATACTTTGAAAAGACCACAAAAAATTGTTTTAAGCCTGGTAGAAGTCTACGTTTCCCACTGCAAATTACAAGTTAAGAGAAGAGTAGCCACATAATTTAAAGTCTATTATGATGGTCTGTGTTTTACTAACAAGAGTCGGAAAAGCTATTATGCAAATATTTCTACCTCAAATTAATTACAGTTTTTAGTAGGTGAGGCTGACCTGCACTTTGCATGGTCTCACAGTTACATGCTTGCTGGTAATCAGAGGTTCCAAACTAGGAAGAAGCCCATCCATCACCACCCTGCCTGCTCGGCACAGACATCCTACATATTTACCGATGCTTGCTGTCTGCAGATAAAGAGACAACAAAATTGCGGCCTTCTCCCAAATTCTTATGCTCTAGTTGCAAGCAGCAGCAAATTCATCTCTAAATGCTGATTGTCCAACACTGACCTTTTTAGTATGTAAATAGGTTATCTCCCTCCGTGTAGTTCAGCCAACTGTATGTACAGCAGCCGGTTCGGAAGCGAAACTTCGCACCTTCTTAGCAAAACCAGTATGTTTACAAATGTGAATGTTCTCTAATGAAGGTGTCAGGTTGGACAAGGAGCATGTACAAAATAAGCCCTAAACACCCAGGGCAGAAGCGTCCCCGAGCCAGTCTGCAGTCAAGGCCACAGAGTCACCCAGGGCTCTCCTGGGCAACAGGGAGTTAACGCTCTGTGCTCAGAGGGATTAAGACCTGAGCCAAAGCCTGCCTTTATTCTGAAAAAGAATCACTGCATCAATCAGTTGGTTGCTTTTTGCTGAAATAGCGTGGATTAAAAAAAAAAAAAAATCACGTCTGTATCTCAAACCCATGCCCTGGGTAAATCAATCATGTGTCATTTCCAAACTGTATAGAACTCTAAAAGGACACAATTAATGAGTCTTATTGTTTTGGAGGTACAAAGATGTGAAGTGATGGTGAATAGATTTCTGTGATTCACAAATAAAGTCCGAAGGCATTAAAAATGTCAAAGAACTACTATGCCCCCAGCAGGAACATTCTCCACACTGTAATTCTGGAAGCAAATTGCCTTAGGTGCCAAGGGGTCCACTTGGAAATTCGTGTAAGGTGTGCTTGCCAGCACCAAACAGCACTGAGGTTCCTTAGTACCCCGCTTCTCATGGTTCCGGGCCCTGGAAGATGGGACCCGTGGGTCAGTTCAACTAACAAGATGGCCTTCAGGTTACAACTACAGGTAGGGAGCTCGGGCTGTGTGTTGCACACCTGAATTCAGGAAGATTTACGCTGCCTCTGGTTTTTGAATTCAGTGAACTGTGTTCCTATTATAAATCGAACTACTGGTCTGAAGGGAGGTGAAAGCCAGATTTCTCGAAGGATGAACAGAACTTAATGGAGAATAGGTTCCATATGACAAAGTGAGTCTTCCCATGGCAGGCGGGAAAGGTCTACCACCAACGTGTTGGGTCACCAGTCCCCTCACTGGCTTTGAGTTCTCATGGGTATAAGGGCTCTTGTCTGTTTATCTACAACCCCGTGTTTTGGGGGATGCTTGCCAGAACTAGTTACATGCTGAGCACAAATAATTCTATTATCAACTTTATAAAATGAGATGGGAAGCCAGAAAGTTGAGTTTTCCAGTTCAAAAAGACATGAGTTAGGTTAGGGAGGGAGTCCGAGACCAGGGAGATTGGAATAACCAGTCTGCCAACTCGAAGATATGATGGCAGTTGAGAACATGTACCCATGTACCACCCAGAGCTGGCGGGAGGGGGGAAGGAGAATGCGCGTAAGAGCACAGTGTGGTCCCTAGTATATGGTAACCACTCATTAAGGGGTTAACCCAGTGCTACTCTAAGTTTGTCTATAAGTTCCTTGAGGTCAGGATTGATGATCTGTGGAGGGATGATGCATTTTCAAAATTAACACCATGCAAAGACTAATTTTCCAGCAGTAACAAAAGAGAGTGTATGCATTTTAAAGAGTGTTTCATGGTGGTTAGCTTGCCTTCTTTGTACCATTTACCAGGTCCAATTTCTTCCAAAGCTGATGACTTTGGGGTGAGATATTCATGTCTAACTGAGAGAATGCTAGGATGGGCTTGCCTCAGAGGACTGTGGCATGGGGCGTGGAGGGTGGGGTCCAACATCGGGGTGCCTAGTTGTGAATCCTGGTGCCCACACAGTTGCTGAGTGACTTAACTCTGTGTATCGAGGTGTTTTAAATGGGATAATAATAATACTTATATCTCACTGAGTTGTTGGGATTAGAACAGCTCCTGGTACATAATAAGTGTTCAATACATGTTAGGTATTACATTACTGTTACAAGTATTAAAAAAGAGACAAGCTCAAAATGGGAGTCATTTGTGCTCAGCCCCACATCAGCAAACCAAGACTTAATACCTAACCTAATCACAGTTTCAACCTCTCCCAGGAATGTAATCTCTACCAGTCAGTCTGGAATTTCCTGGTGAGCATTTGTGAGGTAATCTGCCTGACAGATCCCTGCCATCCCCCAAACAAAGGTGACTTACCCAAAACAATCTGCTCTTTGCTTGTCTCTGCCCCCTCTGCCTGCAAAAATCTCCTACTTTGTACAGCTCCTCGGAGCTCCTTTCTATCTGCTAGGGGGGATGCTGTTCAATTCATGAATCACTGAAGAAAGCCAATAAGATCTTTAAAATGTAAAGTTGAATTTTGTTTTTTAACATAAGATATAAAGATATTTTAACTTCTAATAGTAACAAACGTTTGGACATAGAAAATTTCCAAAGCTAGCGTAGCTGGATATGCCTAAAACCTATGAAAGCTAAAATTCAGACTGAAACTCAGCGTCTTCAGGCCATGTTCAGCTTTTACACCCAAGTGGTCCTGGAACAATAGTGTCATGGTCGCCAAAGTCACGTGCAGAGTCCTAGTGGGAGGAAGGGAGCATGGGATCCGTGGCCACTGCCAATGCCGGCCAGGGCATCCACTGCCCAGGTACACTGGTGCCAACATGCGGGAACCGAGTAACACTGCTAAAATGCATTCAGCCTGCCAGCTTGGAAATTATGTGGCTCTTGACAGACTTTTAAAATGTGGGGTGATTTGCATCATTTTAAATTCTGTGCATAAAATTAGACTTTTGAAAATATCCACTTAAAAATCTGCATACATTTTTATGAAATGCGAACACACTGATTTTAACTTTTTACCAAGCCCAGCACAGCTCATGTCATATTAGATACTCCCTAAATGGTTGCTAATAAACTAAAAAGCAGAAGCCTGTGATGAAGGTATACACAGTCTTCAGAAACTATTATCAAATGAAAAGGATCAGGTCATTTGGTCTTGGGGCTCTTTGAGGAAACAAGAGGGGTTCTGGATTAGAAAAGGATGCCCACCATGAACAGAGGACAGAAAGGGTCTTCCTAACTGGGTGACTTATGTAGTTCAGCCACAAAGCCCAGCATCCGGTCCCAGTGTCCTCCTAACACAGCTGAGCAATATGGGATGCTTCCCAGTGACACTGCCTCATGCAGCAATGATTCCTACCCACCCCGCTAAAAGTCAGCCAAGAAAATTCAGCCTGCGAAAGCCGCCCTCCTACTAGAGGTTTTAATATTTTGATTAATCAAAATGTCTTTTGCATCAGAAAATGTAATGCATGTGCAATCCTGGCTTTGCTTCTAACACCAACGTGTGAGTGACAATAAAGAAAGCTATCCCTACACTTAAGATGTCTTTCCCTTTCCAGGAAACACTGAGCATGTAATACTTGTCACCTCAGTGGTTTGCCGTTTTTAGAACAGTTTGGTTGTAACAAGTTTTTGGCTACTATTTTTCTCTCACTGGTGTTTCTTTTGGGTATTATGAATTTAAAAAATATATTATGATGTGTTTACTCATTGCAGCCAAGGCACTTTGAGATTTGGAGCACTCGCAAGTTCCCTCAGCCAGCACGTTCAGCTGTGTGTCCAGCTCTGGGGTAGGGTAGGCCCTAACTTA